TGATCAAAATTATTAGATAGATTATTTTTGTAAAATTTTTGTAAAAGCCAAGTACCCACTATAAAACCGTTTTTTAAAAATAGTATGATTTAAGAATTACAACAACAATCTACGTTTTATTCAATTTTTATGTAATTTTTTTTTCATATAGGTAGGTAAATCGCTATTTTTCCAAAAAAAATCGCACAACTCAGAAACAAAACAAAGTTTTCTCAAAACACTATAACAAGTTTTATAGTACTTTAATTGTTAGTAATTATTATTTTCTGAAGGCAAATGATTTTAAAAAGCCGCTTGGTTCCATACTTTTTATTTACCTCGTATATTAATTGTATATACAGAAACGCATATTTTGGATTCAAATTAAGAGCCTTAGCCTAGCCATGTTCAAACCTCCGTATGAAAGAGGAGTGAATGGTTAATATTTTGCCAAACTATGTATCTTTCGGTATGTTGACATACCAGCCTATGTCACAATATTAATTAATATTATATTCGATCATTGCACGATTTTTCTAAATTTATCGACTCATTTAATAACTTTTTATTGAATTAGTTTTTTTTTAACAACGAATAAAAATTCGAATGTACTTATATTATTCTTTACAAGTTCCTAGGTATTTTTTTAAACCAACAATAAATACAGTTTTGCAGTTCTGAATTTCACATTAACACATACACATAAACATTTTCTATATATTGTGAACTCAAATGCTGACAAAGCTAAGCGCTTGTATTTGAAACCATCTAGAATATGAAATAGAAGCTCTTACCCCACGAGGTGGTTAAATAAATATTTTTTTTTTGAAATTATTACTCATTTAATAATAATCTGTCAGATTACTTGACCTAAAATTTTACATTTTGCTGTTAAAAAATAAAAAACAACTTGTTTTTGTGAACAAAATTGTGATGTCAGTTGGAATATTTACAAAACAGCTTTCTAGTAATGAGGGTCAAAACATAAAACTCTCTTCTCTAGCTTGCCTTTCTTAAATAAAGGATAATGGCATTCTTTCTCTATATATTATTGTCATTTATAGAAAGTTTCTACTATCTACAGATGCAATTTTATTTGAGAATATAGTTTATTTTAAGATCATAATTATATTTTATTTACGTATTGTGACGAGATAACAACTAACTTCACAATAATAAATAAATTTACAATTAATATTTTATTCTTTCCATTGTTAGCATTTTCTTTTTTCCGTCCTTTGTGGCTCAATCAAAAACTTCCACAACTGAATATTATTTGGTGTCATTTACGTAAAATCTGTTTAACAAATTAAAAGTGACGCAAAGGAGCTAGAACAAGGTTACAAAAATGCATCTAAAATGTATTGCCACTGAAATAAAACTTCTTTTTTTCTTGAAACATCTAACTTCTAACAACAAAAAGCAATAAAATAGCCATAAAGCAGTCACTTAAAAGAAATGCCGATAAAAAATTAGATTTGTTAGTCAAAAACCATTCATAATTAGGTGTAGGTCCCACTTTCGGAGGTCAACGCAGTGTGGCATTATTTTTTATAATTCTAGGAAATGTTAATTATTCATCGAGTTCCCCGAATTTCAAAAACTAATTCATGTCAAACAATTCGATTATTTGTTTCAGTATTTTATCAGATATTTATTAAAGAAAAATTTTCCACAGATTAAATTATTACAAAACCTAAGATTTATTCACATCCTCAATGACATCGAATTTTTAGAGCAAACACGGTGACTATTGATTTTTTCTAATTTATTACTTTTCTCTGTTTTGATTTCGGGAGGTAAATTCATTAAATTTTAGCATCAAATAAAGCCACAATTTTTTGTAAACTGCTTTATTTAAATAAATTATMACAATAAAATTGTAATAAAATTTAAAAAATTCCAAATATCTAGGCCTCGAACAGGTCGCGAGCTACCTTGTTAACACAAAAAAATATGCATAACTATTGTTTATACGAAATGATTTCTTTAATTGTGACAACATGGACATAAAAAACTGATTTAGAAATTCTTTTGATGTTATTGCCGCTTAACCTRTGATGGTATGCAAGTACACTCGAAGGCACGAGTAATGACCGCTCACGAATGTGTAACCATCAATCCGGAAAACGGAAAAATATGAAGAAAATTCKTGTTTTTTCCAGAGCGTCATTCAAATGAGCGGTTTCCGGTCTTTGGGAGACGACGAAGAAGTGGAATTCGAGTGTCAAGTCTCTGACAAAGGCCTGGAAGCGACCAAAGTGAGTGGCCCCCAAAACACAGATTGCAGAGGGTCCCATCGGAGGCCGGCCTCAAAAAAACGTTTTAGAAAAATTAGGTAAGGCCATTAAATTAAAATTTCTTTGTATTAATTCGTGGTGTTGCAGATGTTACAATTGTGGCGAGTTCGCCAACCATATCGCCGCCAAATGCACGATGGGCCCCCAGCCGAAGAGGTGTCATAACTGCAAGAGCGAGGACCACTTAATCGCCGATTGCCCCACTCGAGTCGAACGTCCGAAAAAGYCCGAAAAATCCGAGCACAACGGTAACGGCAGCGAAGACGCTRCAGCCCCCTCGGAGGAGACCAAACCTGAATAATCATCGAACGGAWACGCCCGACTTGTGTTCATTAGAGTAGGAGCTACAAGATGATTMATTTTTAGTTGGGTTTAGATGGATTCTTGTGAGATCAGCAGGAATTTCCGCTCCGGATTACCGAGAAGACTGATTTCATAAGGAGCGAAGTTGCTGCTGAGATGCTCTCAGGTGAGGGATCTCTTGGAGTTCGCTCAGCTGAGACCAGCCCGACGATATCAAATTCAGGAGATAGTACAGAATTTGTGAAATGGTGCAAATATTTTACAAATTGTGGAAATATTACGCCAGTGCAATGCAATAATCAGGAGTTTTATTACACGAAAACTATCGAATTTACATATCGTGCTGTGAAAAGGATTTAAATTTAATTAGAAAGATCCGGGATGGCCCAGCGCATGCACCAGTTTCTCCCACGGTCTTTTTGATGAAATTTCATTCCACGATCCTTGAAAACGGGGCGACGATTCCAGTGGACAATTTTGATACTTAAATTTTCTAATCAATAGAAATTATATTTTAGAAACCGCAAAATATAATTTTTATGTTTCTAGGGTTAGTAACGTGTTCAGTCGTAATCGGTGATTATTAGGTAAGGGACGTAATGGGGCTCCCACAAATTCCATTTCACATATCGTTCAATGACTACAGTATTACTGCTTCACACCTAGAACCTGTGAATTTGAACAACTGCATGAATTGTTGGGTACTTACGATTGCCATATAGATTTAAGTTACTTTAAAACCAGGGATGTAGTACGACACCATTGTTTCAACCGCAAATTCAAAATTTGTATTTATTATATTTATAAATTATTTATTGGTTTGCCGTTGTTTTTAATGATGTTTTTAAATTATTTTATTTAAATTATGACAAGATTAGGTTTTCGGAAGTGTTTTATTGAAAGTTTTACTTTTTATTAATTTTATTCCTTTTGGAGATATTTTTCGTAGAGTGCAGCTGAAATATTTTGGTGTGGCGTCGAACTACAACAAATGAGTACTTAAATGGCATCTACGTAAAATAAGAACTACACCTCTTTTTTCTACTTATTGTCGTATTTGTGTTATGACCGTTATTTATGTTTAATTTAGTTTTTAGTATTAAGTTTCGCCTGTACTACCAAAGTCAGGATTCACAAAATTCTACCTCATTTGTAAAGATATTATTTTTACTACTATTTATTTAAGGTTCCTACATTGTGCCACTGTACATTAAAATAAGAGTAATTTAAGACTCCTTCCATTCTCTGTACCTGAAGTGTCAATTTGCATTTCAAAAATTCTAGACAGAAAAACAATAATCCAAGGTTGAGTACAAAATGTTAATTCAAGTACAACCATCTCTACACATTATGTTAACTACTCTTCATAATTTCCAGTATTCCAATTAATTTGCAATAGACTGATTATGTTATAAGCTCAGGGATTTACATAACAGTTCAAATATTTACATTTAAACCAAATAAGTAGAATTATCAAACTAAATACGTAATATAGGTAGTTTGTAAACTGCGACTTTCATTTAAAAACCTTATCCAAGTCTAATTTCTTGATTACCTCAAAAACTAATAACAAATTGTTACGACGTATTCATAAGAATTGGCATAAAAAGCGGTTCTTATTGACCACTTGAACTTCAAACGTGCATTGTATGCATTGTGTAAACAGGATAATTAAACTAAGACAAAAAGTAATTATATAATTTTTTATTTACACAAGTAAGTTCTCATTACTAGTGTTTAAGTTAGGCAAAGATTTAAACACAYAACTCTTATTTCGAATAACGTCAGTCTTCGTGGAGTGGTCAAGAGAAAACTCGTTTGCACTTCTAGAAGAGCTTTGGATATCTAAAGCTAAAAGATCCCTAGTATTTGGATTAATACTTCCCGAAGGCATAGTACTGGCCAATGGATTAATAAAATTATCACTAGAAGCTGTCTCACACAGATCTTCAACATGGATATCGTCTTTTTGGGAAGATGAACCACTGTTCCCTAAAAAACTAGGTTTTTCGTGATTCTCCTTTTCAAAAACATAACACAATTGCGAATCATTATTTGAATCAGAATTTGCGGGAGGTATATTGAAGTTGCCATGAGCCAAAACTTGCGGCGAATATTGGGGGTGGTGGGTGGTCCTAGTGAAAATAAAATTAGGAGAGGGAGGGGCCATTAGGGGCTTCTCAGGGGCGTTCTGGACCAGAATTATCCTGTAAATTAAGTATTCAAATACAGTGTAACCGATTTGTGTGATTCCGTTACCTGTTGTGTGCTTTCCATCTTGCAAAAAGATGTAAGTACTGGCGACATTGTATGTACATAAAAACAGCACCACCTGTGAAACCAACAGCAACTACAACTAATTTAGTCCAAAAAGGCCAAGCTGTAACAAATTCGTTAATGATTTGTCATGGAGAAGTAACAGTGTAACCTATTAGGCCTTTTTGAACTTCTTCAGCTGCCCTATCTATAAGCACAAAAAGTGACCAAATGACACACACAGCCGCAACAAAATGAAACAGGATGGCACACAGAAGACGTCTCCGTTCCACACTGCTCATTTCCAAGGTTCGCCACTAAAAAGTAGCCCCTTAACAAGCGTCTACAGCCCCCTTCATACTCACTTCTGACAGTGGTTTGATTTTCGTTTGTAATATAAAACTAAACTTGCACAGCTCACAGGACCGAGTGTCGGAAGCAGCTAACCACTGTCTAAGACAGGACTGATGCACATATTTCAAACTACCAGAACAGTAACAAGGAGACAATAGAGGGTTATCAGTGTCAGCCTCACAATGACAAATTCTGCAAATGTCCCCGTTCGAGTTGGAAATATTCGACGCTGAATCATATTTAACATCTTGTCTTCTTTGTAGATCCGTATTCATATTATTTCAGTGTTTATGATAACATGTCACTTGCTGCTTGAGCTGTCAAAGTGGTATTTTAGCTCCGGGACGAATTTAAACGAAGACAACCGTCACAACTGGCTCACATTAGATTATTTATAAACCGAGTCGTATTTATAACGAAATGTTTGAGTTTTAGGCGCCCACAACTAGAAATTTGTCAAGTTGACAGCTAGTCGAAACGTAACCTATGCACTGAATGTCAAAGTGACAGCTAACGATGCCCAAGGCCCAAGTTTACACGATACTATTTTATTAACAATGTGGTTTCACGTCCAGTGCATCGTTTTGTTATTAATTCGAATAACATTATTGGAATTTCATTGTAATTTATTGGAAGGTCACGGCATTATTTATTTATTAATCAAATATTTTATTAGCGCAGTGCCAGCGCCATCTTAAGTGCGTTGTATAAATGACCCGATTTACACTGACCGAAATATAAAAAACTTGACGAGAAGTTTGGTAAAAAAAGAAGAATTTAAATATAAATTATGCACACCTATTTTTCAGTCTCTGCATTTATTCAGCTTGTACCATTGTATCCAATAGATACATAAAATTAGTTTTGTTTGTAAAACAATGTCAACTAATATAAATTTCCATTCCAATGGGTCGCATTACTTTTTTATTTGTAGCTTATCCCTGTAATGCATATTTAGACTTAAATGAAGAAATAAAAAATCAATCTGAAGGTAACTTGCCCGTAACAAAAAATGGTGTGCTCTGTTACTGTCACTAGTCGACAGATGGTGCGTCAGTGCTAACCTAAATTCAAGGTTTTGTTATTGATTTTGATATTTTAAATAAGAAGCTGAATTCTGTATTACAATAACATCGGAATCGCCTGGTGTTTGTTAATTTAATTAAAGCAAATTATTATGTCCGATCTGAGAAAACGTAAAGACTCCGATGCAAAAGCCCCCGAATCCGCTGAAAGTGACCATGTAAGTACTATAAATGCAAGTTTTTATTATTTTTTTTCGCTGATTCACTAACCTGTTTACATTTTGAAAGGAATCAAGTTTGTCCTTTTCGATATCCTTGTAATTCAATTCCATAATCTAATTAAAAATAACTAAGCTGGGTAACAGCTCACTCAATAATAAAAAATAATCAGAGGATGTAAATAATGGGATTTTTGGTGTGGTATAGGTGGACAGTGAGGATGACAAGCTTGGAGCAAACATAAACTTGTCAAAATCTGTGCCTACGGGCACCGACAAGGCCCCTTCAGTTCTCGAATTTTTCCTGCAAGATTTACCTGAAAAATGGCGCAATTGGGTGGTCAGGGGCATTTTCAGTTTATTGATGATCTCCTTTTTCCTTGTGGTGATTTATGGGGGACCCCTTGCTTTAATGATAACTGTAAAATCTCAAGTTTTTTTTCTGTATTTAAATTGATTTTTGCAGACTTTAGTAGTACAAGTTAAATGTTTCCAAGAAATTATTAACATAGGGTATGCTGTGTACCGAATCCACGGTCTTCCTTGGTTTAGGTCGCTGTCATGGTATTTCCTCATCACTTCGAATTATTTTTTCTATGGGGAGAACCTTGTCGACTATTTTGGGGTTGCAATAAATAGGACTGTGAGTATTTTAGACAACTTTTACAGTTATTTAATTAAAATTTCAGGATTTTCTGCGATGGCTCGTGACATATCACCGCTTTATCTCGTTTTGTCTCTACTGTGGGGGCTTTGTATGGTTTGTGCTCAGTCTAGTCAAAAAATACTACATGAAGCAGTTTTCTCTATTTGCTTGGACTCATGTCGCTTTGCTCATTGTAGTCACCCAATCTTATTTAATTATTAAGAACATTTTCGAGGGACTTATATGGTTTATAGTTCCTGTTTCGATGATTATTTGTAATGATATAATGGCGTATGTTTTCGGATTTTTCTTTGGGAAAACACCGCTTATAAAACTATCACCGAAGAAAACATGGGAAGGTTTTATTGGGGGTGGAATCTCGACAGTTATTTTCGGAGTTATGGTACGTATTTTACGCCACAGTGAATGTTTTTTCACCCGAACGTTGTATTACAAATTTCGAAAACGTGCTATTTGTAATTATAATTTTTTCAAAATTGAATTGCAAATGAGTAATTGGCTCACTTTATGCTGAGCTAACGAGAATTTTACATTAARTTATAAAGGCTTGTATAATGCTTACGTAAAAACAAAATGATTTCTTGTTTRATCCATGGTTTATTTTTATTTTCAATATTCRCACATGTGTAGTCGTTTTATGTTTACATAAGGCCAGAAAATCGATACTAGGATTAATTTCACGAYACAGATTCAATATCTACATATTTTCTTCAGGAAAATTGCATTTTCTTTTGCATTTTTTAATTAGTGTTTACCATTAACTACACATGCACTTTGTAATAAAAAGTTTTTTACAGACGATAATATTAATTGTTTTAGTTTGATAATATTTGTTATTTCGCAAAGCGATTTCACTAATTATGTAGTAATTAATAAAATGGAATAAATACGAATTTGAACGTCACTGCATTTAAATACAGGAGAGTAAGAAGAGTTAATGAATATATTTTTTTGTTGCATTCATTCCACTTTTAAGAATCTATTTTTTTTTATTTTGTGTGGATGGTTCGYCGAGCATTATTTACATTACATGTTGTCATTACATATTACAGTAGTGTGTATTCGGCTTTAAAATGGGTTTGTTTATAYTTGAGAAATGTTTTTTTTCCTTTTTCGTTATATTTTTTTTCATAAAAACGCATGATACCTAAAAATCTTTAATTGATTTGTCATCAGTAAAATTCCGAAAATTTTTACCTTAATCCTCCACTAGAAATTTTAATTGTATAGCAGATGATAAAACAGGAAAACTGTTCTGATCAAAGGTCGRGTGTGTTTTAATTCGTATATATTTCTGATATGTTGATAATTAAAGCGTTTCCGCAAAATTATTAAAGTGTAACGTGACWTATTTTTAAAATGTTTATTTCAGTAGATTTATAATTTCTCTTCCATTGTAATTCGCAAACTTATTAAACTTTTACACTGTTATTGGTTTTAAAATAATGGAATAATAAACTTGAATATCTATTTTTGGTTTTTATGTAAACAAAAAAAGATATCCAATAGTTTGTTTTCAAGAATATTTCGCGATCGTTTGTTTTTGTAACTCTTGAATCTATAATTTTTYCAAAAATTATGAGCACGTATTCTTCTCTTCCATTCTATTGAGATTGTGCTCATAATTATTACCGTCGTTTGAATAGTAACATTTGTAGCCACAATTCCAACAGAGCGGACCAAGAACTTGCTATTACATTTTTTTCTGGCTTAACAATAATTCATCAAAGAGAGATAAAAATGAGACATCTCTAAATGCAGAAAATTAGGAAAATTTAGCTTCTTTCCTAATAAAGAGCTGAATAGAATGCCCACTTATTTTAATGAACAATCCGATGTTTGTCAATTGCCAGGGCCGTCACAACTCATTTATAACTATCACAAGCAATTGAAAATGAATCACTTGTGTCATAATTTTTATTACCGTGACAATGCCATTAAAAAAATAATGAATCGTCGCAAATACCACTCTTATCTATCCAATTTTAGATGTCCTATGTTATGTGTCAATACCAATACTTCGTATGCCCGATCGAATACAGCGAGACTTTGGGTCGTATGACCATGGAGTGCGAACCCAGCGCTCTTTTCCGATCCACTGAGTACAGCCTCCCTTCTTGGCTTTCAGGGGTATTGGGTGTTGTAAGTTTACCCAACGTTTCTAATACAAAAATAAAGTCGTGTTTTATAGTTCGGCGTTTCCAATACAATCTCGCTTTATCCATTCGTATTGCATTCACTGTCTTTGTCGATATTTAGTAGCGTTATTGGGCCTTTCGGGGGATTTTTCGCCTCGGGCTTCAAGCGTGCGTTTAAAATCAAGGTAAATATTTACAAATGTGAAATTTTTAATGCTGTGTATAGGATTTCGGGGATATTATTCCCGGTCATGGGGGCATAATGGATCGCTTCGACTGTCAATTCCTGATGGCGACTTTTGTCAATGTTTATATTACGAGTTTTATYCAGACGGACAGTCCGCAGAAATTGCTGTCGCAAGTGTTGTATTTAAAGCCGGAGCAGCAGCTCCAGTTGTTCCACATGCTGAAGGAGTCCTTGGAGAATCGGAATATTTTAGAACTTAACAATTAAATTATTTACTTTTTGTGTATACTTGTTTGTGCCATTATTGTTATGTTTCATAATTTTAAATGAATGGTAGTTGCCYTTCGAATGTTTAGGATTACATATTCTAATAAAATAATTGTTTCTTATGTAAATGTATAACAATGTTTCACCAAGACTTAMCCTTAGATATTRAACTAAGGAAGGACGAGCTACGTATTTCTGCAAAGTATTATTGTTTGTTGTGTTTGTTTAATTTTATTTTAAGTGGGTGTTTCCACAACGGTGTGGTCTCTTCAATTAAGTGCAATTTTAAMAAATTTAAGTTTCACATTCCTTTTGATTTTTTAAGCTTTTTCTCTATTATGGTATATAGTATTATAGTAAGGCCCGGAATTAGAAACTTTATATTTAAATAATAGCAATGTAAATCTGTTGTATGTATTTTTGTTGTCAATGTAAAGACCGAATAAATTTAAGTACAAATACAGTTTTATTGCGTTTTATTACTTCCAGGAGTATCAAACAATTATTCAATTGCTGGTCGTTTTTTTTCGCAACCATTTGAGTTGTGCTAATAAGAGTCGATTATTTTGTGGTACAGTTTATTGGCTGTCTACGTCCCTACTCAAACTATAAATAAAAAAATACTTAACGATATAAAATAGTAACAGCACATATAATATGAATAAAACAACTTCTACCAACTTGATAGCTCCAAACATTAATACATATTAAAAATTTAATGCGCTTAAAGTTGCTTGCCGACTAAAGCATCGAGCAACTTGAGCTTAGCTTTGACTTTTTTGTAAGCTAGGTAAACGTGTTCGATCGGTAACTTATCTTCCTTCTGCACCATTCGGCCAGTTTTGTGTTGGATTTCAATCTCAAACATTTTGATAGCCCGTCTCAAATCCTTTTTTTCCTCGGATACGATTCGATGTTGTTCAATCAGTTCAAATTTTGTCAAAGAGTGGAGATTTTCGCTGATGGAGGTATCGGTGTCGCTACTGTCGGTGCTCGTCATCACCGACGATTTCTCTGAATCGATTTCGCTCACTTGGGGGGTGAAAGACGGGATAAAATTCATTGTTTCATCCTCATGGATGGTTGCCAGTTCGTTTCCTGATRGGTTCGCCTGGATTTTTCCAATCATTCGTTTCAAAATTCGATACCTGTCGTAAATGGGACGCGCCAGATTCCGGTCATCTTTGTTATCAGGACGACCGTGGATTGATTCCAGATAAAGAAGGGCTTTTTGGACTGCGATTTTTTCATTGATTAGTTCTTCGTTCGACATTTCTTCCAGATTGCTCGAGCGCTTCGCAGTTTCGCGCTTCTGGGTCAGTCTCTAAAAAAATTAATGGATCAAAAAATTGATACTCTTTTGAATTGTAGAGTTGTTCTAGTTATGAAAATATATAAAAATATTTTATTTTTAAACTAATAATAAACTACATCATTTCTAGAAACTTGTTTAGGTCTTTTTTTAATATATAAATCAAATACAGAAAGTCACATTATTAACGAACAAAAGACAATTACGTGTTATTTCTCCATTTTTCCAATTATAACCTTGTTAAAGAAAGATGAGAAGTCGTCATCTGCAGTTATGAAATCAATTTATTCTTTCATAATTTTTAAATAAAACACGTTTAACAACTTTCCCATAGAATAAAAGATGTTATAAGAAATATATTTAAATTTCAAAAAATTAAACAACCTCCATGATAACGTAATCAATGAACAACTGACTAATCTCTTTCGGAATTAAGAAAATCAAATGAATGATTCTGTATATAAAAAAATATAGTTGTACACCTGTTACACGAGTACTAAATTGATTTAAATAATGTTTAAAAAATGAATTGAAAAAATAATTGAGATTTTAGTTTTTTTTAGTTATAATTTTTTTCTTGTTTGTTGTTTTTTTATTAATTTAAGTCAGATGTGAAAACTAACCCTTTCGATATCGTTGAGCGTGTCTTGGAGATTCCTAGGAATACCCTGCGGCCCTTTCTCCCTTTCTTCTTCAGGCGCAGCATTCGGACAAACATCAAACAACTGCTTCTGCTCCTTCTTCARCTTGCTCAACTCCAAATACAATTGYCTTATATTCCTGTCGTTCAATTTATCCACATGCGAGACCTTATACCCATGTTTGGCCTCAAATTCGCTTTCAAACTTCTTAATCTTTTTCTTCGTACTGTTAATCTGCTTGGTTATCTTCTGCAACTTCAACTCCAATGGATTTTGCGTCTTATTCTCTAACCCAAAATTGACTTGTACATCGGGGTCTAGGTAAATCCTGTGTGTRGCTATTATCGAATTACGTGGCGAAGATAATAACCGATTTGACGCAACCGACAACCCCGGAAGCGTTTCCGTGTCTTCATCGATTTGGTGGTTAGCACACGAGAGGAGGGGTTCGGAACAATCGACCTGTTCATGAAGAGTCGTCAGATCCAAATCGGGGGAAAACTGGCGGACCGGACTTGGAGACCTCTCCTTCTCTCCCCTGTGCAATTGAAGAAAAGACTCCACGCAGATCTCCTCGGTGGAGTCGTTCTTCACTTCCTCTTTTTCATATGTTATCTCTGGCTTGAATTTCGGTTTGGRYAAACACCGCGCTTTAGGTCTTCTACTTTTGTGCGACTTTTTCTTCAGTGYTAGAGGCTTGGAGAATCTCTCGTGCGACCTCCTCTTCTCGTGCTCACAATCCTCGTCGTATATGAGAATAATATCGGAGTTTTGTCGATTCGGGGAAGCGTTGCGTTCAATGAATTGAGTCAAAGTCGCATTTTTGGGGTCAGACTTTTGGAAATCTTCACTACTTGAAACTCTTCGGATCGTCTTATTTTCGAAATATTTCTTCTGAGTCGGTCTTTCTTCTGAATTTGAGCGAATAACTTTGCGCTCTTGACACAGCGAGCTGATGCTTTCTTGGCGTTCTTTCCGTTTCCGGGCTTTGCACGAAGCTTTCGCTTCGTCGAAACTTGTCGGGATTGAATTTGGTTTCTTCTTGACGAATTCTTTCGGTCCGGACTTCTGGGATTCTTCTTTCCGGGAAGGACCTTTCATTGTCTCGGCTCGTGGGTGCTGCAAGAATAATTTTCGGTCACATTGTAACTCGAATCGAAGCTGATGAAAACTTAAAAGTGCACTAATTAAGAACAAAATGAAATGAGGTTTCTACGCTTCTATCTGGTTTGGTCTTGAGCCAAAATGATTGCAACAGCTACTAAAATTGTTTCATTGCGAGTAAATAATTTCTTCTATAATTGTTATTCTATTTGCGGAAGCGGGGGAGTTGTTAATAAATAAGCACATGTCGTCTAAAACAGCACTAATTACGAGATATTTTTCAAATGCGACTATTTTTAGTCCCAATCAATACTAATTAAGTCAATCCAAAATGTATCTTTATTGCTTAGTTAGTGAGTAATCTTTATAATTAATTTATTGGTGTTTACTTATTGATGGGAGAATGTTTCACCTCGCACATGCTTCTGATAAAATAGATTGTAATTGAATCGGAAAATTACTGGGCGGGAAAAGCAGCAAGTAGTGACATTTATTTAGCTTTGGTTGTTTTCAAAACCAAGCCAAAAGGATAATAAAAGGCGTTAAAAATAGAACACGTGAGGTGGTTGCGTAAGAGGATACTTACATAGCACTTTGATGAAAACACAAACTTCGCAGAACAGAAAATTGTACTTTACAAAATATGTTAAAGTTAAAACTAGATTTGTAATGACTTATGAAGAATACTGCATGCACTAGTAGGGCAATGATCTGACTTAAGGGTTCATATCCCTATCTCGACACATCGCAAATTTATGGTTGTTTAAGGAAATGAGTGGAAACCAGCCGCAGTTTTAGCATGTGGCTGTCGTAGACCACTCTTGGACCAACTGCTGGTACTCGGAAGTGTCCCGGGTTAAAACACTGCAACAAGAAAATGAGCCATCACTGGAAAAGTCTCGGGGAAATCGCCACTAAAACCCATCGATTTTTCATTKCCAAATGCGTCATTCTAATAATATAGACCGATGAAAATAAACTGGTCCCGGTTGGAACCCGGACCAGTTCACTGGTGTTTATATTTGGGGGTAAACAATTGCATCGATGGATGAAAGCGGTGTAATTTTCCATGATGGGACTTTCGTCCGGTGAAACTACGATGGGTCTAGGTGGTATTTACCTCGATTTGAGCCCATAGTTCTTAAAAGCACACAAAAACGTTTATTTCGGAAGTAATGTGAATTTATCGATCGGTTGTGTTCAACATACAATGAACTCCACTTGCACTGGGGCGCAACTCACTGTGTCACACAACATGGGTGATACTGGAACACTGCTCGGCTCCGGCTCGGCCCTGCCTTTCTCATAGACCCGCCGTAAAGGTGGCCATTGGCGGCGAGATATATCGGAACGGTTAGATTACAAATATTTACTGTAATGTAATATTACATTGTAATATTAGTACAATTGGGCAACGAAATGTCTCTTATCGCGGATTTGGTGCAATTGGATAAAAATTTTCATTTGAACTAGGCTACGATTTGTTACAGTAGAGCTAAAGAGGAAAAATATTTGACGAATTCAAAATTTATGCATCAAAGGACGTTAATGATAAGGCAGATGTCAATCACAKATGTTATTTGATTAATWCATCCACTATTACGTAGAATTAGTGTCATTTCGGATATCAGTTTTTGTTACAGATTTATTTTTGTCATTATTTATCTCTTGTGTTGATCGTGTACAATGATTTGTGTGACGCAGATGAGAATTTTATCTATCGATTTGTTGTGTACAAATGTTTAAGAATGTGCTAATTTTCCATACAATGAAAATTTATATCAATCATTGTTTTGGCACACTTTTTTGGCTTCTTATTTTACATACATTAAGTATGTACATATTTGTAAATTCAATCATTATTAAACTCATGACTTTTGCAAGGTAAAAATTAATATATGTTTTAATTACTTTAATTATTGCGAAAAAAAAAGATAATAATTTACTGATGTCTTTCTTAAATTCTCATACTCTCATCCTTTGTTGTTTAATATTTTTTTAGTCAAAGAAAAATTATCACTTTTATTCATTAAAATAAGTTTTTTTTGTATCTTCAGAAGACATATATCGTGTTTTATGCTTGAGAAATTGATTTTCTCCACATTAATCTAATGTTTTTTTTCGCTCCTACTAGTAAATAATGAAAACATTTGATGGTATTTCTTGTGGAAATTGTGGGATGTTAAATTTGGCGCCTAGTCCACACCACACAATTTTAAATTTGTTCCTTTTTTTTTAATCTTATATTGTTATTGAAGAAAAGCTAAACAAATGTGCTAGTAGTGAAAAATAGTTATTTATTCTTCGACACTGTCAAAATTTACGGTTTTTCTCCCGTGTAAAGAAGTTTTGACAACTGTTTGGCATTTCTCAATACGAAACGTCAAATTATTTTTAACAGATTTAAAGCAAGTTTAAGCCTTGTGGAGTCTAATTCGAAGAATAAAATGTTGTATTCAACTCGTTTGAGTGTTAATCGGACGTATTCCACCTCGTGGATGGTAAACCACTCGTTTAAAAATCCACTCGGTCAAATAAAGCGTCCGATTTACACTCAAACTCGTCGAATAAATAACTATTATTCTACGAGTTTGAGTGTAAATCGGACGCATTATTTCACCGAGTGGATTTTTAAACCACGAGTGTATCGAGTTGAATACAACATTTTATTCTTCACATTAGACTCAACAAGGCTTAAACTTGTTTTAAATCTGTTAAAAATAATTTGACGTTTCGTATTGAGAAATGCCAAACTGCCAAACAGTTGTTAAAACTTCCTTACACGGGAGAAAAACCGTAAATTTTGAGAGTKTCGAAGAATAAATAATATACATGGTGTTTCACATAACTTTACAAGGCTTGCGCCTAATGTACGCACCTAAATATACAAAAGTCACAAAACACTGGATACAAAAAACACACATTTAATTATTTAATTTTTGTAAACCCATGACAGTAGTTGTCAAATTAATCACTGTTTCATTAATGGTCATAAACTACGTTTTTTTCAGAAACAGTTATCATTTGTTCTCTCAAGAGACGGCATGAATATGATTCTAGTTTGTCTATCTTAATCACTAAATAAGAACGTTGTAATTTTTTAAAGGGTGGGCAAACTAGAGAATATTATTCAATTACTCAAAATTTGTAATCGAGTTCGTATCGGAATATGTATTATTAATTGCATCTTACAGACGCAGGCCTCGTAAAATTATGTGAAACTCCCTCTATAAACCATAGGAGAGAACAATTTTATTATTAATTATTACTCTTGAAGCTCCGCGTCTCGAGTATAATTAAGTTTGGCTAAGAAAATAATTGTTTTCTCTCCCTTGGAATATTATTACTTTTGTATTACATTAAAAATTTGTCCGCAGTGTCCTGCTTTTAGAATTTACTGGTTGCGTAGCTATTTTTGTTATTCCGGTCACGTGGTTCTTGATCATTTACAAAGGCACTCTATTCTATTGCATAAAAAAAGAAAAAAAATAATTTTGAGGATATGGCTACACGTTAGATAAAAAAGTTTTTTGAATAAATGGTACCATAAATGGTATTTAGGTACCATCTGTTTCAACATTTTCAATTATAGATTTGCAAATAAAAGCAGTAATGAAAGTCACGAGTGGGAGTAGATAAACTAACTATCTTTATCGTCGTGTATAATATTTCGTTTTATTTTGTACTCACCTATCAGAATTTCTTGAATATAAACAGTAGATAAAAATTACTTTATTTCACTAGACGATGAAAAACTACTTTATCTACTGAAATTAGTTGATAAAAGCACTCTTTAACATTGAGTACAAAATAAAAAAAATATTTCCTAATGATAGCAGTTACAATAACAAATACTTATCGAATTATATTTTATGGATGTGATTTTTTGTGATATTATAAGAAAACAAGATTAAAAATGATAAAATTCAATTTACCTATACACAAATTTTAGTAAATGAATTAGGCATATTTGCCAGTATTAGGATCATTGATAATTTTAGGTCAGTAAGTTCATATATCATAATTTGGAGACACAATGGATGTTAAAACAATACTCGTAAATCAAAAATACTGAAAGATCATTTAGAGGCCAAATTATGATATATTTCATTAAAGGTGTACTTAAAGAAATTCTAATATACAAAAGATACTTACACTAACAAGGCTACGTAACTGTAAAAAGACAAACATTTCACTTTTACACTTTGTGAAAAGAACTAACAAAATAAATTTCTGGAAGATTTAAAATCTGCCTCAAGCAAGTCTATCTAGTACAATCCAGAATGATAAAAACTAGTAACGTGCAGTATCTATATTTTTGAACGTAAATATTTGTTACCTTAATTTAACAGTGTATGTTTGGAGAAACATGTTGAAAAATATTTTCATCCTTCACCGTAAACAGACTATGGTTTTAAATTAAATTTTTTTACGCTAGTTTGAACCAGATTTATATGCCAGGGCACGACTTAAATAATAATAATTAAACTTCTGATTTAACACACGAGTTTTTAGAGATCTGTTATAAAATAACAACAAATCAAAGATTAACGAAAGTAAAAAAAAAAATAGACCGGATTTTGACTATTTGCCTCTCAGTGTGTGGCCTTATCGAGCGAATTGTGAAGGTCAAGTTCATCTACTACAAGTTGCACCTTGATAGTGATCAAGGTGTACGAATAAATTCCTAATTCGTAACAAATTCATTGAACTTTTTTTCAATTTTTTTTAATGATTATTTGAATAGACGTGCAAATATTATATCATATTAGCAAAAATAAATTGCAAAAATTAAATTGTTTATAACTAACAAAATTACAGAAAAATATACACGCCTATTCGATTATCTTGTATGTATTTGGCGCCATCTGTACATTCACCGTGTTTGAAGGTGGGCAGATGCCAGCCGTAGATCGCATTTAGTTTAGTCCCAGCCGAATAGATGTCACTTAATTCGATAATTGAGTTTAAATGTTTGGCATCTAATTTTTCAGTTTTAGCAATTTACTTGATCGTGCTGAAATGAAATGATATCTGGGTCCGTTCTTTTAATCAAACTTTCTCAATTGAGGTTTTGATGGTAATATAAAACTGTGGGCAATTATGCGAAGATCGTAACATCTTGAATGAATTTTTGCCTCGTGTTAATTTTCCCTCACATTGTCACACATTCTCTGTCCCCCGCTTTGCATGATATGCCTAGCCTAGAATTGTGAAGTATTTTTAATACCACAAAGATGTTTTCGAACGCGCTTCTAACGCAATAAACGTTTTATAGCTAATTGTCATTGGTTTATGACTCAATATGGCGACTGGTCTAGTTTAAACATGATTGGTCTCCGGAGAGTATCGCCATAAAACGATTCAAGCCACATAAAATGTTAGCGGATGTTGCCACTGAAGTTATCTAATAAAATGTAATTGTTTTCTGGATTCTTTCGATACTGTCTAGGGTCTTCGAACGGAATTGTCTCATTCCCGATTAATTTTAATTTTAATGAAATATTACTTGCTCGTTTCTACTGATAGTTTTTTATTCAGGAGGTGGGGTGCCTCCTCTTTCAAAACAAATCTTCAAGAACGACGATCTTGTTTTTATGCGAATATCTACATAATCGGATGATCCCGGCGAATATTTAAAATAACTGCCGTTTCCAACAAATATTTTCATAAATCTGTCATCGGTGATTGCCGTTCCGGAACTGATTTCGAATAAAGTTGTACCAACGTCAGTCTATACGAATTGCCTATGCCGAATTATCATTCGAATTGCTCGCGCGGTTTGCAAATCGACCGCAGTTAGTGAGAGATTTTCCATAACAAACATGCGGAAAATGTGACACCGAAAAAGGACTTTTTGACACGAATATTACGGTTTTATTGCCTGACGAGACTGTTATGCAAGATATTTAATACACAGACATGTATGGCCTCTTTAGAAACATTTGCGACGGGAGCAAATTAGTTTATGGCACAACTCATACACACCACAATCACAACAATAATGGAATTTGTGTTATAAAATTTTAGATTACTTTATAATGATTTTTGACAAAGTAACTCTTTAACTTAGATCCTAAAGCTTTTATTAATTAACAAAATCTAATTTATAATCTAAATTTTATCTATTAAATGAGAAAACACATCTTACAATAAAATTTTAAATTTTTTAAAATTGAACAGACTTTCTAAGTTAATTTTATGTACAAGCTGGTTTATAATAAACGCCACAAGCCATAACCCTATTTTCTCTAAAGATATACTTAACAATAGTTCTACAGTACAGTTTATTATCAACCTTAGTTTTTTAAACAGCTTGGATATTTTACCATTTTTGGATATTAT